ACCACCACCACCATCACCACCAAATAAAAAAAAATTAAAGAGAGAGAGATTTAAAATTCAAAGAGGGAAGTGATCCCCAAACTTTATAAATATGAGTGTAGGGGCTGGAGAGATGGCTCATTGGTTGAGTGGTGTCCTTACATGGGACCAGAATTTGGTTCCTGGCATCCATATCAGGCAGTTCACAACAACCTGAAATTCCAGTTCCAGGGAATCCCTCTCTCTCTTCTGGCCTCCATGGGCATCAGTACACACATAGCATACACTCACATAAACATACATACACATACATAAAAGTAAGTTTTATTAAAAAATATGTATGTAATGCAAATAAAATTTGAGCTAAAAATATTTAGTGTCCATAAACAAATCAGTAAGAAAAACTGAAAAAAAAAAGAGCAAAGGCTTTGGACCGGCAATTTAGACAGGAAGGGGGAGTGGGGGAGTCTGTGTGACGATGATGCTCAGTTTCAGACAGGAGAGCAAAGACTGGAATGACTAAAGCTGAGAAACTCAGAGGACCCCTGTGAAGTTGAAACTGCAGACTTCTGAGAACAGATGACTGGCTGGTGCTGGTATTCCGATGTCATGTTTAATAAAATGGGTTCTTTAAATAGAAAATATAACAATTTCTAGTTTTTATTAAATTGTATTCAGCTGCCACTAAGGGAAGGGAACTGCAGCTGCCAGGGTGAAGTGTGGCTGGTTTCAGGGACTTCCCAGGAAGTATAAGGAGGCACTGTGAAGGCAGCAGCCAGGAAGCATCTGGTCCTCTAGAGCGAATGTGTCCTACAGCGCCCACTAGTGGCACAGTAGCAAGGAGCCACAGGTAGAGAAGAAATTTGCTGGGGTTTGCAGCCAAGGGGTAAACTCTTAACTGGTGCATTGATAATTAGCATTTATATTTAAGCTCTCATACTCTCCTAATCTTTTTCTATTTATTATAATGTAACTATTTATCACAGAAAAAAATGGTATTATTACCATCTACTTAAAGAGACACAATGAGCCAGGCAAGGTGGCACATACATATAATCCCAGCACCCAGAGGGTAGAAACAGGAATACTAAAGTTCATGGGCTACAGAGTATGGCTCTGCTTTGAAAATGAAAGAGAGAGCAGGCCAATGTAGCCACTGTGTCCATCTCCGAGACTGTGATCTGTTCCATCCCTGGACTATAACTACCACAAAGATTTGTTCACAATCCCACCTAGGTTTTCTGTTACCTAGAAAGGAAATGGTAACATTAACCTTAAGCAAAATCTGTATTAAGTAATCAGAAGGAGGATTCCAGGCTGAGCGGAGTAACAGGCTTCCCTCTGGCCTGGAACAGCTGGAGAAACGAACCTGAGCCGTGTGACTGCTCCAGCTCACTGCCCAGAGAGAGGTTTGGTCTGCAGCATGGGAGAAGGAGCTGTGGCAGAGTCCTTTCACCATCCTGCGTTGAGGAGGGGGAGCCGAGCTCACATCCTGAAAACAAGAAAGCTGCACAGAAAGAGACCTCTAGAGATGGCACAGGTGCCCACCAAGCACTCAGCTGGGTTCTGACCACTGCATGTGTAAGGAAACTACTTGAGGGCAGGAAACTGCCAAAGCTCACACGCACTGAAAACAGGGCTTGTTCCCCCAAGTCGGGGCAAGAAACATCAAATGGTGTCTCTTCACAGCAATGGAACCTAAGACAAGGTAATCAGCAAGCATGCAGAGCTAATATACTGTATACAGGTGGTAAAACAGACTGATCTGATGACATACTGTGTGACTTACTGTGGGAGGGACAAGCTGCTCCTGTTTCTGACACTTTGGGACAGGTTTTCTGCTTTTTACAGTCATGCAATTCTTACCATTGATTACTGGTGCTAAGAGCTCAGGCAGGGGAAGCAGAGGTAAAGGCTATTTAACACTGTACAGGTTGGGTCAAACCTGTACTGGCTTGGATACCTGTACCAGCCATTCTAGGTTGGGAGCAATAGAAAGAATGGGGGAACAGGAATTCTGGAAAGTCTAGACAAAGATGTGAGAAAAACACCTCATTAATTGGATTCCTGGTTCTTCCCAGGGCCTGAGTAGTTTGGGGGAAGAAGATCCTGTCAAGGCCAAACTTTACAATTTTTAATTAAATTATTATGTATGTGTGAGAAGGGTGGGGGAGGCCTATGTGTGGTGGTCAGAGGACAACTTTTGGGAGTTTGCTCTCTCCTTCTACTGTGTGAGTCCCTGGAATCAAACTCAGTTGTCAGGCTTGGCGGCAGGCATCTTTATACTCCAAGCCATCTTACCAGGCTTACCCTTCCTTTTCCTTGTCTCTTTGTTTTATTTTTTTGAGCTAGGATCTTGCTTAGTAGCTTTGACTGGTCTGGTACTTATTATGTAGCCCTGGCTAGCCTGGAACTCATGGCAATCCTCCTGCGTCAGCCTCTCCTAGTCCTGGGATTATGGGTGTGCACCACAACACCCAGTCATTTCTTTTCAATACAATAGGCAGTAAATATTGTAAACCACCCCCAGACAATATATAAAGAAAGAAGATTATGAGAATAAGAAGTGACTCCTTTCAAGAATTTGCATTTATTTAGTTTTTTCACACTAACCTGGCTGGTACAAGTGAAGGTAAGTTGTACACAACTATTACCTCACATAATAAACTCCATTATTAGGCCGTGCCATCAAAGGCTTTCTTGACTGCAAAGGGAGAAGACTGCTCTCCACTCATTATTGTTGCACATTCTGTCTTGAACACTGTATGACACGTGCCAGGTACAGCAGCACTATTTGCTACAGAGAACCATGTGAGGATGACACACAGCGTTGCCAACATTAATGCACATTTACAAAGTACGACAGGCACAGAGACAGTTACCTTCATCACACACTGTCATTCTGAAGCTGTGGAATGGATAATATAGTAATAGGGCAAATATGGGTTATCATATCTATCACTTTTTTGACACTTTGTATCTCTCTTTCCATTCCAACTTTGAAACATGAAGAAGTGAAATGTGGAGGAAGAAACCTAGATAAAAGTTTCTTTTAAGAGATGGACAACAGAGAATCTACCAGGATCCTGTGCCCTTCCTGAAGCATCAATGATCCAGAAGCCAGGTGTCTGGCTTTTTCAGGTCACATTCAGCCAGTCTTCCAGATACTACTAAAAGAGGAGACAGAAGCAAGAATCCTTGTTAATGGAGAAAAGTCTGGAAGGACAAACACATTTCTGATGTTATTTCTTGGTTAGAAATGAAAGGAAAGATGATACAGTATTAAGTATTTCTTCATACAACTTTGATTTATTTTGTTACATTAGACACATACCACTTTTGTAATAAAAACACTAATAAGGAACACTGTTAACGAGAAGCAACTGCTTTGTTCACTTGTATTTAAGGCACAGTTGGGCATGTTAAAAAGAATTAGTAAACTGGGAGAGACTGACATTCCAAAGGCTAATTCCTTGTTAATAGCAGTTTTATGAGGTGGAGAGGTATCAGGGTGGCCTCAGTGTGTGGTGGTTATAGCATCTATAACAGTTACAACATTTCTTCTGACCTAAGCCCCCATTCTAGGGGACAGCCCAGTGCACTCCCTGAGATTGAAAAAGTGCCTGGAGGTAGCAAGTACTCTAACTCATGAAGGGTCCTGCTTAACCAGGGCCATTTGCAGTCTTCTGTTCTAGGGGTAAATATCACATGCATTACTGAAGAGAGGTGGAAGGTTCCTTACAGGGCAACACATCCTCTTCCTCTGAGAGCTCTTGCTCTGCTCCTCACCAGAAGATACTATTGCCACACTTCCATTACTGTTTTTCAGGCTTCCCACAATCCTGCTATGCAGAAGTGAGGGGTCTGCTCAATGGACCAAACTGTAGCAAAGTTACTAGAACCTTCCGTGTTTCTCAGCTTCACCACTACCGACTTTCTCAGCACAGCGATCCTTTGGGGCACAGCGTAGGACATTGGCAGCATCCCAGGCTGCCAGGCGCTCGAGGCCAGGCTAGCAGTAGCACCTTCCAGGCTGCCTCCAAACACACACACACGCCTCTGCCAACTATCCCAGGAGACAAACTCACTCCCAACTTGGGTACCATCACACCAGTGATGGAAAGGCAGTTTTAAAATGTAAACTGCATCATGCACTTTACTCCCTTGCATCAATTTTTTTTTTATGATCGCAGAATAAAATTCAAACTCTTTACTGTGATTTCCAAGACTCTGTATGAACTGGCATCTTCCTCTTTTTTTTTTTTTATACTACACTCTCATATACTAACTGGTCTTTCTGTTCCATAAACATCTTCAGTTTGTTCCCACCGACCTTTTATGCTGGCTTGTCCTTCTGTCTAGAATCCAGTCTAGAATGCACTCTCCTCTAGGTCCTGGTATGGCTCACTGTTCACCCACACAATCTCATATCAAATGTTACACAATTAGCAAGGCTTCCCTGACCATATTCTCTAAAGGACCTCCCTGCTCTCTACCACAAGACACCTTTTCCTTCACAGGAACACAAGAGAACAATGTCTTGCTTTCCCCTTTATTTCTGCCTCTTGGCTAGAGGAAGATCTTAGTCTTTTCCACTGTTACAGCTGACTGACTAGTACCTAGCACACAGTAGGTACTCAGTAACCGTACTCAACCTACCTCAGGTCAGGTGTCAATTGCTTCCTCGTCCTTTCCCTTCCAAGGTTATTTTTTATTAACTGACTTGCCTTGTTTTTTCTAACAACCCCTGACCTATTTAGAAAAAAAGTGTAGGTGGAGTACAGTGAATAAAAACTTAAGAATGCCTATTATGAAATACAAATAAAGACCAATTAATAATACATGAAAGACAATTCCTTGCCCTGTAGGTTTCATGCACTATATAATCAAGCCACTGGCCAAGAATTCGTGACAACTTTGGTCCCTCTTCACAAATTTCAAGTGGTCAAGGCATTCTAGAGGGACCTAAGACTTCAAAAGTTACCTGGCATTCTAGACAGACCTAAGACTACAAAACTTACCTGGTGCAGAGACTCAAAGGGCCTCTTTGTCCATCGGCCAGGCATATACAGTACCACAAGTCCGAAACTCCTCTGTGCTGGCTTCAGGTTAAATAGTACACCGGGTCAATAGCAGGGTGGTCTAAGGTGCTGCAATGTCAATACATGTTGGCAGCGCCCAGAAACCACAGCCTGTTTCTTACACTGATTTATGGGCTGTTTCCATGAAACCAAAGATGCTTGGCTCTCGTGAAAGCTGGCTGGCTGGCAACTGGAAGCACTTCAGTCCTGGCTAAGGGCCATGGCCCTTGGGTAGCACTTCATCGGGCCATTTTGGCACTCTGGCGAGCAGTCTGCTTGTCCCGCCTGGCTGGGCTCTCTACACGGTGCACAGTCGTCTCCACCCGCAGGGATGACGACGCCCTGACGTGGCTGGAAGACGTTTCCGTGCACTGCGAGGAGGTTTCCACGTGCTGGGAGGACACCTCGAGGAATCTAGGGAGTCGCTTCGCGGAGGGAGTGAGGGAGGGCCCTTCCCGGTGCCGCTGAGAGGTCTCCACCTGCCGGGAAGACGTTCGAACCTGCCGGGAGGACGTCTCCACGCGGTGGGATGATGTTTCCTCGCGGTGGGACGATGTCTCCACGCGGATAGTTGACGTCTCCTTGTGGCGGGTGCTTTCCACTCGCGGGGCGGAGGACTTGCTCCTAAGGGGCGAGGCCATCCTGCCAGTACACCCAGGTCAGGAGGGACAAAGAGGCTCAAGGGTCATGCTCTGCGTCACGTCACACAGGGAAAGGTGACGTCAGGGTGGTGTACTACGTCAGCGTAGGCTGCAGGACACATAAACTCTGCAATCAATGAGGTCCTCCAGCACGTCCCCCTCGTTCACTGCGCGCGCAGCCGGCCCAGGCCACACAGATAGGCGGGGCCTCTCTTCTCAGAATGAGGCTGGCCCCGCCCTCGTGTCCCACCCTGCCCTGCGACCGGAAATAGGAGCCGTGGCTTCCGGATCCTCCCTCGCCATTCGATCCTGCCGTTCGTCTGGGCTGGTTGTGTTTGTGTCTCTCTGCTTGTTATGGCCGCGGCCGTCGCTATGGAGACAGGTGCGTTGTGCCCTGCGCCCCGAGTCTTCACCGAGGGAACGGTTCTCCACCCTGACCTCCTCTCCCGTTTCCCTGAGCCGTCTTTCGGGCTTAGCTCGGCTTCCTTAGAGTTGGGACCGGAGGGGGAGAAAGTGGTGGTATCTCTGAGATTGTGGCCTGTGTGAACATCTTTGCTCCTGGGCTGCTCAAACCCCGACTCCCTGGTTCCTGGGCCGGAGCGGGGCGGTGGCTGAGGGAGGACTGAGCCCTTCAGCTGGCTGCTCTTTGGAACTTTTCCTGTGAACTTGTTTGAAATGTCGGTAATGTGTATCGTTCTGATGCGGATTACCGTCTTCGCTCCGCTGTTCAATCGTTTTGCCCCTTGCTTCCTGTTTTTATATAGCACTTTGTTTTTGCTTAACGTAATCACTGTAACGCGTTAACATAGGGGGCGGCACAGCTATTACAGACTATGCAGTGATCTCTGCTAACGTCCTTCCATAATGGCCTACAGGTGGTAAATATCCATTCCATTTATTTTCCTCAACTAATTTTAGAGAATTTATTGTTTTTGTTTTGTTCTGGAGACAGGTTCTCATTATGTACTACTAGCTGTCCTGGAACTAGCAATGTACACCAACACCAGGCTGGCCTCGAATTCGCAGAGATCCTCCTACCTCTGCCTCCCAAATGCTGGGATTAAAGGCGTGCAGCCACCACGCCCAGCTTGTTTTGTTTTAAATTAGGCTCCACTCTTTAGTTTCTAAGGAAGTCTTTCCTGCACTTTGATATTTTTTTCATAAATTCATTCATATGGGGATGGGCGGTGCATGCTGAGGTCAGAGGATAACTTGCGGGAGTCGGTTGTCTTCCTGCAACCTTGTGGGTTCCAGGGATTGAACTCAAGCCATCAGACTTTGCTGCAAGCACTTTTACCTGCTGAGCCGTCTCACTTTTATTTTTGCTTCTACAAATCAATATTCGTATTGTGACTTTCATTTTGGGTTTTTTTTTTTTTTTTTTTCTGTCTTTTCTCCTAGATGATGCTGGAAATCGACTTCGGTTTCAGTTGGAGTTGGAATTTGTGCAATGTTTAGCCAACCCAAATTACCTTAATTGTAAGTCGAGCACATCATTAAGTTGAGTAGCTAGCTGTTAATGATTTCTGACAGGATCTAATTCATAAGAGTATTTACTTTGATATGTTTAAATGAGATTTTACTTGTGCTGGTCTGTAGGTATTAACTGAGCAAACAAGGACTTGTGTTTTTTAATTCCTTGTGTTTTGATGGTAGGGATGTTAAAAAGAGTTACTTTATTAGAGATTATAAGTCAGTAGTCCAGCAATTGGTTGACATACAGATTGTTTCTTTATGCCTTTCAGTTCTTGCCCAGAGAGGTTACTTCAAAGACAAAGCTTTTGTTAATTATCTTAAGTACTTGCTTTACTGGAAAGAACCAGAATATGCCAAGTATCTAAAGTAAGTTTAATTTTTATAATCTTAAATCTGTGTGTACTTTATTATAAATACAAAGTACTGATATTTAGCAGTTTTCTCAGTGTCAGAATGGAAAACTGTTTTGAATCTTTCTGCTTTTAGTTAATGTAAGACACTGTCTTCTCTAACTTGGATTATTACAGTAATCTCGCTTGTTTCTGCTGTCATTCTTATCTCACTCCCTTCAAACCAAACGAAGCCAAACAGCTGTCTGTGGAGGGCAACTTACTCTTAGTAATAGAAGTCAGAACACGCCACTTCCATTCATGGAGATAAAATCCAGTTACCTGGTTTTAGACTAAGGCTCTAATGTGCTTTGGTCTTTTCTAACCTTGTCATTTAGCATTCCCTTTGTCTCTCTGGGTTTCTAATGCCTGCCGACCCATAAGCTACTAAAATGCAGTGGCACATCCATAAGCTGAAATGAGCACATAGGAAGTGGTGTTTTCTGGGAATCTCAGACGGCCCTTTTTAGAGTGTCCTGTGTGTCAGGCAGTATGATAAATGTATCATGCACATTAACTCACTGTGAAAAAACAAACATGGACACTGTCAAGTTGTTTGATAGACAATTTTATTAGAAGATTTACTAAATTGTAAGAAACATTACAATCACGTAACTATCCCTTTTAATGATAAAACCTTGAACTCATCTCTGCTTTGTCTTAAGAAAGAAAAACAAACTGGTGTACACCTTTAATCCCAACATTTGGGTTAATCCCAACATTTGGGAGGCAGAGGTGGGCAAATCTCTTGTGTTCAAGGCCAGACTGGTCTCCAAAGCTACTTCCAGGACAGCCAGGGCTACACAGGTAAACCCTGTCTTGAACTCACCCTCCCCTAAAGGGGTAGACAACAAAAAACCCAGAAGTTTAGACTGATGCCCCTTTAATCCTAGCTCTCAGGAAGCAGAGGCAGGCAGACCTCTGTAAGTTCGAGACTAACCTGGTTATGTAGCAAGTTTCAGGCCAATCAAGGCCACACAGACAGACCCTATCTTAAAAATTAGAGGAAAACATTTCAAACCTTTTCTTTAAATCCTAGTCACTTTTCTGAATTGATTCCTGGGCTGCCTGTAGAACTGATTGTAGTCCAATTGTGCTCTTCATGATGCAATTGTTGATTCCTATAGGAATCTAAAGAAGAGACTTTAAGTTATTATTAGGAGATTATAATGTTAGTGCTAGCAGATTCCAGATTGGGTATTGAAAGCCTTAGTCACCTTCAAGTTCAGTCTCACCAGCAGAGTTGTTGGACTCTGATTATCTCTGTTCTGTGAGCATGTCACTCTATGAGAGGCAGCTTACTCCACTGATGGCCAGAGGTTAGATAGCTCTTCCTTATATTGTGATCAGACAGACCTCCTTGTAGCTCTAACCTGTTTGTAGGGTTTTTTGTTTGTTTTTCTGTTAATCAGTGCCCTCTTGGAGACAACAGCTATAGGTGTTTAAATTCAAGAGAGGTTGTGAATTAACCTCTGTTGGGCAATTTGATTATATCTGCACATGGTTTTAAATTTTTAAAATAGTTGCCAAAATTTAAAGATAGGAAGGCTTTATGTAACAGAATTCCAACTCTTGGAACTTAGGAAGAACTGAGTGTAGCTAGAGTTTTCCTGCTTGCACACAGTCAGGACAAATCTCTCTCACCTGCCAGTCCCACAGCTACTCAGACCCGACCAAGTAAACACAGAGACTTATATTGGTTACAAACTGTATGGCCGTGGCAGGCTTCTTGCTAACTGTTCTTACAGCTTAAATTAATCCATTTCCATTAATCTATACCTTGCCACGTAGTTCGTGGCTTACCGGCATCTTCACATGCTGTTTCTCATCGTGGCGTGGCGGCTGGCAGTGTCTCTCTGACTCAGCCTTCCACTTCCCAGCTTTATTCTCCTTGTCCCGCCTACACTTCCTGCCTAGCCAATGGCCAATCAGTGTTTTATTTATTGACCAATCAGAGCAACACATTTGCCATACAGAACATCCCACAGCAACTGAGTCCTTCTTTTTCCCAGTCAGAGGCTGGTTGCAGCTGAGGAAAGCTGTCTCCTCCAGACTTCCCAGCATGTGGCCTGCTTACTGATAGCTAGTGTGTTAGCAGCAGAATTTCTCTTAAACATCTGTCTTTAGGTGCCTTCAGTCAGTGTTTTAGTGCCATGGTTTCCAGAGTTCTCAGGAACCTTTGCTTATCTGCCAGTTCAACAAAAAAACTAGACATAGGGCAGGCAAAGTGGTTACATGCCTCTAATCACTGCACTTGGAAGAAGTAGAGGGAAATCTCTTGAGTTTGAGGCTAACCTGGGTTATATAGTGAGACCCTGGCTCAAAATAAAATAATTTGGGGGGGGGGTGGTGGTGGCTAGAGAGATGACTTAGTGCTTAAGAGCGCTTGCTGCTCTTACAAAGGACCCAGGTTTGGTTCTCAGCACACGGTGGCAGGTCACATCCATCCAAAATTCCAGTTTCATAAGTTTGGATGCCTTTTGGCTCTGAAAGCACTGTATATACATGATACATAGAAACAAGCACCAAAATGCCCATGCATATAAAATAAAAATAATAAAATTTAAAAAACAAACTAAACATAGGCCTTCAAATGTGGTCAGGATACCACAGACCACATGGTATTTCTCTTCCTTGTGATAATTCAACATAGATTGGTTATACTTTTTTTGAGTGGAAGAGGTTTGGGAGTCAAATTGTTGACTTCCTGGAAGCTTTATACCAACTAAATTCAGTTATTTCCATGAATTGAATGCTGTTACTTGACTTCTCTGTTTATGTCTTGTTTATTTTTTAAAAATCAAATTGTATTTCCATTTGTACCTCTTCTATCCTGTAGACCTGGAGTTAGTGTGTTGTAGCCTTTTAGAATATGTGGAATTCCTTACTCTGTAGTCTATTGAATTAAGAACATTATTTTCAGATGGGCGGTGGTGGCAAGGCAGAGGCAGGTGGATCTCTGTGAATTCGAGGCCAGCCTAGGCTACAGAGTGAGTTCCAGGAAAGGTGCCAAAGCTACACAGAGAAACCCTGTCTCAAAAAACAAACAAAAAAATTGATAAGGAAATGATAACTGCCTAAATTCCAGTTACTAAGTGCTACTTAACACCATTCTCTTGCTGGTCACATTATTTTGCACACAAAGAAACTGAACTTAAGAAATTTAAACACTGTCTTTAAAGCCACTACCTGATACTCAGAGCTGAATCTTTTAAATTACTGATGTGCCATGAAATGGAATTAACAAGTATAGTGGGAATAGAACATTCTGGGCTAAGCTATTACAATTACAGACAGCTCTTTATTTGGAATATAAATAATAAGCCTTTACTGGAAGGGAAGCATAGCATTGGTTCTGCAGTGGCAGCCATAGCTCTCCCTACCCTCCACCCCTGTGTAGCCCTCCGCCCCCATGCCCCCTTCTCATTTTCTTATTACCTCATCATCCTCCCCCTCCTTTTAAAAGCTCCAGGACAAAATTATTAGCATTTACAAGAAAAATACCCCAGGGTAAGCAAGCTGTAAAATCTCAACAGCTGCTCAAAGGAGGAGAATGGAAGGGAGAAGGAACAAAAGCTTTGCCCCTCTCAAGTTAAGCTGACATGGAGGGCAGTCAATAAGACTGGGGGAAGGAAGGCAAAGAAAAAGTATGGCAGCCCAAAGTGTTGTGGAAGGCATGCTTAGAAGAGAGTCTCTTGACTTCTGAGCAACCCCAAAAGGCAGGCAAAAGCTGCACTGAAATGAGACTGCCAGGATCTTCATTTTGATAGAACATTAATATTCTTCTACTCTATAGCCTATAGACCCCATTAGCTTCTGTCTGTTGTCCTACTGGTGTCCTCCAGTCTAGGCTTGTGTGCTACATTTTGTCATCCTCTTTTCTTAGTCTTGAGTTCCTTGGTGGTCTCTTTGCCTCCCTCTCTCTGCCCCCTTATTCTACTTCCCACTTCCTCTCTCACTCATACTCTCTGTTTCTCTCTCTCACTCAGACCAAACACTTGCTACTTTGTTACTTTTCCTTATTGGTTTGTTATAATCCAGAGTCAGGTGAAATCTGTTTGTCCCATTAGTGATGATGTTAATTTTGATCCATTGTGTTAGGTGGTGCCTTCCAGATTTCCCCACATCAAGTTACTGTTTTTTCTTTTGTATTTAATAAGTAACTTGTGGGGAAAATATTTGAGACTATATATAGACATCTTGTTACATAAATTTCATCCCCTAATTTTTTTTTTTTTTTGAGACAGGGTTTCTCTGTGTAACAGCCCTGTCTGTCTGTCCTGGAACTCACTCTGTAGACCAGGCTGGCCTCGAACTCACAGAGATCCTCCTGCCTCTGTTTCCTGAGTGCTGGGATTAAAGGCGTACACCACTACCACCCAGAAATTTTAGCATTTTTTAATCAAGTAATATTTTAGGTTAACTTACAAAGTGATGGGTTCATCATGACAAATTCATATATGTGTCATTATACTTTACTATCATTTGTTCTCTTCTCCCTAATTTTAGCATTATTGCAGATACTTACCTCAGTGTTTATTATGGAATTTTCTAATTCTATCATTTTATATTTATTAGTCAGAATTCTATAGCAAGGAAAAGTATTCCCTTGTTATTTACTCATTCAAACATGTATATCAGTATCAACTTGTGGATTCTTGTCTTTATCCAATGATTACAGTCATTTTTCTGGGCTCTAATTACTGCAGAATTGGCTGCTGGAGCACCTTTAGATTGGCTGTTGTGTACTGCTGACATATCCCTATCCATGTTTAGCACTTCTTTTTAACATGTTGTATCCTGTATTCATGTTGTACTTTGTCTGTCCTAGTCTTGAAATTAGTTGTTTCAAGGAACTCTGGAAAATGTTATTTGAGAACGAAGCTCTGGAGACTTAAGTGTGCTCATTGATATGACAGTGTTTTTGTTTCTAGGCTCTTGTGCATATATAGCTAGGATTGGTATGTATGTATATGTTTCTATATGCACACATACTATGTATTTTTTTTGTGTCTGTGTTAATTGACATGAAGATAGAGCTTGAGAGATGGGTCATAGGTTAAAAGCACTCGCTTCCAAAGGACCCAGGTTTAATATTCAGCACGCACATGGCTGCTTACAACATCAGTAACTCCAGTTCTAGGGGATCCAGTGCCCTTTTCTGACCTCCATGGACACTGCATACCTGTGATGAATAGAATTACATGCAGGCAAAACACCCATAAACGTAACATTTTTTAAAAAGGCCATGAGGACATACTGTTGTAGTTCTAGCTCAGTACAGTAACACAGCACATGTCCTACCTGCCCTTTCCCCTCTCATCCTTTTTTGGTCATCAGATTTTTTTGGCTTCTTTTTACCCTAGTGTACTTGTCTTCGCTCAGTCCTAGAATATACATGATTTCTTGCTATAATCCCCATGGATAATTAGAGCACAACATTTGTTCATGGTTTATTTTGGAGGAGGGATCTTGCAGTGCAACCCTACATGGCCATTAAATTAAGTCTACTTTTCTTAAGTTTCTTGAGTACTGGGAGTACAGGTGTGTGCCTAGCAATGTATATGATTCTTGTGGAGTTAGTTGATTCACTTAAATAAAGGTTACCCTTTTATGACTCCTGATGGAAAACCAGTATTTATTAAACCTAACTATTTTCAAAGTCTTCAGAGCCAGTGAGAGAGCTCAGTGGGTAAAGGTGACTGAGTTTGATCCCTAGAACTCCCATGGTGACCTCCACAAGTATCCCATGGCATGTGCTTACTCTCCTTCTCACACAGATGCTAAATAATAAATGCAATAAAACGTTTTTAAATGAAAAAGTGTTCATGTTCCTCACTTGGAAAACTAGAAGAGTATGGTTATCTACCGATTTTACTGGGTTGTGTGGTCTTGGGCAAGTTACTTAAGGTTTCTGAACTTTAATTTTGTATAATGTTTTGAAATAACATGGTGGGAGTGACATTACCAAATAGGTACTTTGTTAATAGAACTGGTAGGCTTATTATTAAGATTATTTTTAGGGGAGTATCTGAATTACAACTTGGGATGCCTTAAATTATGTTGACAATTAACTTATGAACTTAAACCCAGGTACCCTCAGTGTTTACACATGTTAGAATTGCTCCAATATGAACACTTTCGAAAGGAGCTGGTGAATGCTCAGTGTGCGAAATTCATTGATGAACAGCAGATTCTGCACTGGCAGCACTACTCCCGGAAGCGGATGCGTCTTCAGCAAGCCCTGGCAGAGCAGCAACAGCAGAATAACACAGCAGGAAAATGAAGAGCTGGGGACAGACCGGGCTCTAAGGACATGTATATAATGTATTGCTGTTGTACAGTACCGATAAAAGAAGACTCTTCCTGCTCACCTTTATTATGGTAGCACTCAGAACCATTAGTGTTATTTTTGGTCAGCAAACTTTATATTGTTAATAGATTATTTCTGTTAAATCAGAATTGTTCTACTTTGATTTCTCTGGGGATTTGTATATTGCAATTTGTAAATTTCAATTGCATTGAAAGTGAATAAGAATGTAAATGTTGGGTGTTATAGAGCAGTTTAAGAACATGGGTATGACATACAGTGGTACCCTGAGCCAGATCATCTCTAGGAACCTTACTGACATCAGCTGATCCACCCCCACCCCACCGTCTTCAGTAGAGAGAGGACTGGAGTCGAGCTCTAACTGCAGACCAAGAACTACAGGAAGGTTCCTTCTTTCTGCAGGAGAGGACATACTCAGTTGCTCCCTGCTTTGTAAGATATCTGACCTCTAGTAGTGGCATGGACAGACTGGTAGTTAATGACTAATTGGATTTTTGTCCTTAAGGTGAGCCTCAAATACCTTTCTTTGGGAAAGTTAGCATTTATTTGACAAGTACTACAAGTAGGCACTTCCTTAAAATGCTTCTTTTAATCTATTTCAAAAAGATTTTTATTTTATATGTCTGAATTGCTTGCATATATGTGCACCATGTGCCTGGTGCCCAAGGAGGCCAGTAGAAGAGAACATTAGATCCCCTGGTATGGAGTTGAAGGTGGTTGTGAGTCAGTATGTAGTGCTAGGAACCAAACCTGGGTCCTCTGCAAGAGCAGCAAGTACTGTTAACCACTGAGCCATCTCTAGCCCTTCCTTTTTTCTCTGTTTTTTGAGGCAGGGTCTCACTTTGTAGCCCAGGCTGCCTTGGAATTTATGTGTGAACGTTTGGCCTATACAATGTATGTCTGTACCACCTGCATGCCTGGTGCTCTCAGAAGCCAGAAGAAAGCATCAGATAACCTGGACGGAAGTTATAGACAGTTTTGAGCTGCCATGTGGGTTCTAGGAATCCCAGGTCCTTTAGGAGAGCAGCCAGTGCTCTTAACCACTGAACCCCCTCTTCAGTCCACATTCTTGTTTTATTTGTAGTACAATAGTTGGGATTTTCATTTGCGACAAGGTCTGGTCCTGTAGTCTACCCTTGCTTCAAACCTGATTCTCTTGCCTAAGCCTCTAAAGTGATAGGATTACAGATGTGCATCACTATGCCTGACACAATTCTTTTTTGAAGAAATTGAGATTTAGACAGTAACTTGCCTGTAGCTAGGAGAACCAGCCTGTCTTCAGAGAATCACATTTTAGACAGTTGTAGTTATGAAACAAATGATACATTCCATGTGTCTTCCCTAAATGGTTTAGTGAAGTTCTACATTTCAAAGGCAGAAAAGGGTTTTGCAAATGCATAGAATTTAAGGTAATAGATCCTAATAGATGCAGATTTGAAAGTTAGTTACTTTTTATCTTCAATATTTCCTCTGAGCTACTACTACTATACTGAAGACCTATTTTACTCAAATCTTTTAGATAGCCATGTATTACAAAGCTAATTGGAGGTTTGTATTTTAATTCTTTATTGTTTAGACATACACTGATCGATTCAAAGCAAGTATGTGGCTTCTTTAAGCAAATCAGGAAATCAAGACACAATTGTGATCATCAAATCTTTTTTTTTCCCCGAGACTATGTAGCTCTGGCTGTTCTGGAACTAGCTCTGTAGACCAGACTGGCCTTGAACTCACAGATTTGACCGCCTCTGCCTCCCAAGTGCTGGGATCAAAACCGTGCTCTACTACCACTCAGTGCTATCATCAAATCTTAATCTTCAGAGAATATCATTTCCACGAGGTTGGCCTGAAGGCACTCAGATTCCACAAGTTTTTGAGGCTGTAAAAAAAGAAGGTTAAGTTTTAACCACTGCTATGAAATGTTACTGGGGGTGGAGTGAATTCTACATTCAAAGTAGACATTTTTGAACATAGAAATGTTGCCATCAGAAACTATCAGCTAGCCAGGTCTGGTGGTGTATGCCTTTAATCCCAGCACTCCAGAGGCCAGCCTGGTCTACAGATCGAGTTTCGAGTTCCAGGATATATCCAGGGCTACACAAACCTTTTATCAAAAAGAAAAAAAAAAAAAAAAAAAAAAAACCTAAAGAAAGAAAAAAAAAACTATCAGCTAGTTATAACAAGCTTTACGAAGTAGTTAAGATATTTAAGATGAATCATTAAAATACTTGGCCTGAAGGGTCATACCAGGCCCCATACCAGGAAGCCCCATAGACTGGAAACAAGAGACGGCAAGTCCAGTGCTTGCCATCTCTTTCCCTCGACTCTTTAATTTAGGATCCTAGGGGCAGGGCTGAAATAAAGGGAGAGCCTTTTTAAACCTGAGAAACAGAGTTAGAAAACAGTGACACAAGCTTTCAGGAATGAGTCAACTTCTGAACACATCTTCACAGTGGCTGAAAACACTCCCCAAACACTCTGCTGCATTATTAGAAGTTCATTGGGATTTGGCAGGGGAATGGACACCAACTTGTGTTTCTGATTCACTCTGACAAAAATGTGATGTTGGAAATTAAATGCCAAGATCTTTTAACAACTTGAGTTTTAACTACATTATAGCCACAACATAAAGGTAGATACTCACCGTTCCATATTTAAGTAATGTAGGCACTGCAGTTAATTTCAGTTTTTGTCTGAAGTCATTACTTGGGTCTTTCCAGCTATTCCAAAAGGAAAAGGATCATGAAAAATACTACTATATTACAGTTTACTCAGCAGTGGATCTATATTTAGTATATTAGTAATCATTGCTTTTGTTAACACGTAAACATTTTGAGGATTTAACTTATGTAATCACCCTCTACAAAGTTTACATATGAAGTGTGGCTAAGATAAAATATAAATGTAAGGTCAATAGCATTCTGAACTTATTCCACACCAAATTCATTGATACTATGTGACAGAACATTAACGTCAAATTTGGATTCAATAATTCTAATGCTTGGCTTATCAGACATTACCTAAAACACACAGCCTGAGCAAATATCTGAGGTCCTTTCCACCCAAGTTTTTAAGAACCTAGTTCATGTCTGGAGATATGGTATACATGACCACTTACTAAGGTCTGTCTCCTACTTGGCAGTAGATGAACACACAGTCTTCGGTAACATGCTTCAGTCCCTCTCGAACGACTGGCTCAGCTTTTTAAAAAAAGTTAAAGTAATTACACATCCAACTGCGATAGCCCGCGCCCTCCCCCCACAAACCCTCCCCTCTCCCCAGTCTTAGTAGACTTTAACCTGCAGTAAGAATGAGGATGTTAAAGTCAGATGTTCCCTTTTGGACTCGAGAATCACTAAGTCCTAATCCTGACTGTCCTTAAGACACACCTAGAACATCAGAAAGCATACATATTTGCTAACGGAAAGACCAACTCTTGAGTCCTGTAAGACACTAATCGTTTGGGGAACTGAGAACTTTAAAGAATCAGGTTCCAAGATCTGAGTCCATGATAAAAATGAGGGCTACCCTTGCGTGGAGCGAATCAGGACCTAATGAGAGACAAGGGGACAGCTCAAACTCTTCTGCGGGTCTACGGGACCAAGATCCTTATCTTTGCCACTACGATCCCACTTTCTGGCTTTAATAGGGGCCTTTCTTCCCCACTTCTGCGGCGTAGCAACCCGCAGTCCCAGTCTCACCTTCCACGCAGTCCGGACACCAGCTCTTCCCTTCGGCATCCTTAGAACCGCTAAAGTAGGCGAAAATGGTCTTGCCCTGGTGCTCCTTCACAGCCTGGTCGAACTCCTCGAAGCCGGACACGCTCACCTCCTCGAAGTTGGCCATGGGTACAGTCCCGAGAAGAGCTTGGGAGGCGCTCTGGGGTGCTCCCTCCTCAAGGAGGGCCGAAGCAGGGCGTGGACAAATTTCCGGGAGGGAGGTGCCGCTGGAGCTGTGCGGCGCTACGGGAGCCTCGGAAGACCATAACTCGGTAGGACAGTCACTTTGGTCTGCTGGAGTTTCTTTTTGGCGCCAGCTCTCTTCTGACATCTAGACTTCTGACCTGGTCTGGTTCCCCACTCTGCTCTCATGGACAGTAACTGCAAAACCTGTCGCAGTACAACACCTTGATCCTCAAATGGCTCTGGAAGCTCAACGGTTCCCAAGCGGCCCCGCGCTTGTTGCCATGGCGACTGGGCGAGAGGCCGGAAGCGAGGCCTAGCTTGGGCTTGCCTGTCCGCCTCCGGGTCGCCGCGCCTCGCCGAGCCAGGTGGGCTCGGGCCGGAGCTGGGGGAATTCTGGGAAGCGGAGTTAGGCAGAGGGGGACAAGTGAGAGGAGATCTTACCCCGGTCTCCTCTAGCAGCTCCGCCCTCCAATTACCTTTCCATTTGTCAGGCTTTAGGGGGGCCGCGGCTGGGGGCGGCGTCCGGGACTGGGCGGGGGTACGGAGAGAGCTAGGAGGCAGAAAGGCGGCGAGGGCCGGACCCGAGTGTTGTGAGTGCGTGTGCGGGGCACGCTGTCTAGGGGAACAGGTGCAAAGACAGCGTGCCCGAGGTTGCGTTGGGGAAAGGAATTGTCCGGGAGCTGCGAGCCCGGCGGTGGGCCACGGGCCCTTGCCCGAGCTGCGCAGGTGTACGCTGGCAGCAAAGATGCCGGCTCGTTGCGTGGTGGCCGGCAGGTCTCGGCGGGGTGTTCGGCCTCTGTGGGCAAGGAGGTGGGGTGCAAGGATGTCCCGAGGCTATGGAGTAAGGCGCCGGGCGAGGTCTTCAGTGCGGCGGATGCGCTGTACAAGCATAGGGAAGCTGCAGGGTGGTCGGCGGGCTTTGGGGAGGAGACGAACTACGGAGCCCACGATGCCCCATGGGGTAAACAGGGCCTCTGGGACACCTGGGACTGCAGGCTCAGTTGAAGCAGGAATGGACCCAGGGGCAGTGTGGGTGAACGGGGCTGTGGGCGAGCCCGAGGTGATTGGGCCTGCTGGGTCTGTGTGGGTCACTAGATCTGGGAAGGAGCCAGACGATAGTAGTCCACCAAGCTGTGAGAGAAAAGGTCGACCAGGAACACTTGGCCACGAGAGCATCCTGGAACTGTGGTTGAAGGTGCAAGCTATGAGGGTAGCTTCAGGATGCTGGGAAGGAAGCAGAGTGGAGCTCCATCCTGTTCCTGCGGGAGAGGGGCCAGTCGAAAAGGGTGTTCCCGGGCGAGCGTCCTGGGTAGAGACCAGCAGAGGTGGTGTCACAGGACCCTGGGTGAGAGGACATGCTAGGACATTCCCTCGGGCCTCAGCACTACCCTCAGCTAGGGGAATAGAGGCAGGTTGTGAGAGACGCTCTATCTTCTGTAGGCAGGGACAAGCTGGGAAGGCGCCTCCTGCTGTGGGTGGACCTGGGGTCGTGGAGAAGATAGGCTGTGCTGCCTCGGGCCCTTGGGAAGAAAAACAACCTGTGGGGCTACCTGTGGCCATAGGATGGTCTGAGGCTGTGAAAAGGTCCAGAGCTGGAGAAGTGATGGAATGTGGGGGTACTCCAGGTTCATGTTGGGAAGGGCAGTCTGTGCAGGTTTCTGGGGCTCTGGCAGAGGAAGCTGTATATGGGCCCATGTTATGGGAAAGGGGGCAAATTGTAGGGCCACCTGATGCCTTGATGGTACTACCCAGGGCTATGGAAGATGAAACTGCCTCCCAGGCGGCCACAGGGTTGTGGCAAAGGAGACAAGAGGTGGGGCATATGGGTTCTAGGAGTATTCCTGGCCTGAGGGCCATGGGACAGTATGTAGGAGTCCCTTGTGCTAGAGAAGAGGGAGCCAGATGTGGAGGTGACCCAGGGTCATGGGGAGCTGCACAGGCTGCAGAGCTGTCTGCTTCTGAGGAGCAAGAGGCAGGTTCCCGAGGTGCCCAGGGCCCGTGGGGTATAGAACAGGCAATGGGAGCACCCAGGGCTTTGGGAAAGGAGGCAGATGATGCAAGTGTTCCAGGACTGTGGGGAACAGGACAGCTGCCAGGCTTGCAGACTGTGGTGGTATCAGGAGACAGGGGAGAAGAAACCAGCTATGATGTCTCAGATCTGTGGGAGAGGCCGCAGTCTCTAGGGGCTCCTCTAGCTGAGGCGTTACCAAGGCCAGTTATGGAAGAGACACACAGTGGGAATCTCCTAAGCCTGTGGGAAAGAAGGCAGGTCATAAGGGAGCAAGAGGCTCAAGGTCCTGCAGCTTTAGGGATACCCGGGGCTATGGATCAGGATGTCAGTTGTAGAGCTCTGTCATGTCCGTGCAGGAGGAGGAGGGCAGTGGGGGTGTGTGAGACAGTTGTGATGCCAAAATACAGGTGTGCCACAGAAAGAGTCCCCTCAGCTCTGGGTGTACCTGATGGCTTGTGGGTGTGTCAAGAAAGCAGCTCCGCAGATGCTGTGAACCTGCAGGGAAGGACTCCTGTTGCCTCTGGGAAGCCCAGGGCTCCTGAGGAATACTCATCTGTGGTAGAGGATACTGAATCTGGGACTCTCTCTGGTTCACAAGTTGGGGTTCCCATGACTCCTGAGATACGTGGTTCTCTGGAGGTAGAGGCTGGCTCCGGAGGTTTCTCAGGCTTGTCAGGAAGGAGGCTAACTGTAGGTAAACCTGTGACTGCAGGGATATCCCCTGCTGGTGTGGCTGTGGCTCCCAGGACATCTTGTTCTATGTGGGAGCATATTAGCTCTAGGAGAGTCTCAGACTCAGCAGAAGGCAGACCACCTGCAGGGGTATCCATGACTGTGGGGCTCCCTGAGGCCACAGGAGATGAGGTACTAGCTGAGGGTTTACAAAGAAGACAGTCTGCCTCGATGCCTGTGGCTGCTAGAATTGCCACAACTGTGGAAGTGCCCGCAGCTTGTGGGCTCTTCGGGCCTCACAGGATGGTGGATAGTGCCTGTGGAGAAAGCTCGGGGATATGGCAAAGAAGACAAATGACTGATCTGTCCACTGCTGCCAGAATCCCTAACCTTGGGATGGAAGCAGGCTCTGAAGGTGTCTCTGGTCTGTGGAGGAGGCACAGTGGGGTAGTTCCTGAGGTAGTGAGGGGGGCATTGCATCAGGGGACGCTTGCAGCTGTTGAGGCTCCCGTGGTCGGACGTGTGCCTGCTGCAGTGTGGGTGACTGGCTCCCCCAGAGAGGAGGCAAGTGGAGGTGTCTCTGACCTGACGGTGGTTAGGAGACAGTCCGATGAGGGAGCAAGGGCATCAGGGGAGGAAACAGGGAGTAGAGGGGTCCTGGGACTTGCAGGGAGGGGCCAGGCTGTGGGGATGTCTTACACCCATGAGCTTGGTGCCAGGATGTGGGGCAGTCCAAGGTCTGTGAGGGAGGAAACAACCTATGAGAATGTTCCCAGAGTATCTGCAGTGAGAACAACTGTGCCCTCAGTTTCAAGGGAGGAAACAGGCCTTGTCCATTTCAGAGAGAATCTGCAGGGGAATGGGGGCAGACCTGTGGGAGGAGTTCCTGAAGCTGGAGTGAGAGGGGATGATTTGGGAGAGAGGGGGGAGGGTGGATTGAAGGGCACCTTCCAGTAGCTTTGTAGAAAGCAAGTTAGAAATTGTCCTGGGATTCTGGGAGGGAAGAGGTTGGGGAACGGTTTGTCTTGGGTATAAGTGAAGGAACAGATTAGTGTAGGGACCTCATGGTTCCTGGAGAGATACTTTGTGGCAATGTCACAGGCTGTGCAGAGAAACTTAACTGGGAGACTTCTGTAAAGATGGAGAGAATGCATTGCAAGGAGAGGGTTATCCCAGGACTTTGTATAGGGGAATGGTGTGGGGTGGGTGTCCCTGGACTTGTGTGTGAATGTGTGTGTGTGTGACTGATGACTTGAGGTGTACAGCCCCAACTCTGCAGCTCATTCTGTGGCTTCAGCTCCAGCCCTGTGGTACTGGCAGGCCAGTTGGCATTGCCTTACTCATGTGCCTCCCATCTGCCTCTTGGATCATGTCTCCGTAGTCTTAGAAACAAGGAATCGTGTACAGCTGTCTTTATGTTCCTACAAATGCATCTGCCTTGAAGAGAATCCAGTCTGTAAACTTCAGATTTTTTTTTTTTAAATTTAAGCTAGTTTTTTTTTCTCTCTTAACCTGGAATTTCCCAGTTGATTTACTATAGGATTCTTTGAGAGAACAAATTCTCCAGTGTATTTAAAACTTACAATTTCTCAGAAAATTGTTCAACGCAACCATGTTGAGTTAAATTGTTTCCTGTGTTCAAGTAGTGATTGTGGGAAATAAAAGAGTGACAAGGCTCTCAAGTCTCAAGGAGCCTTGTCCAGCTGGAAAGCTGAGACACAGACCTTGAAATAGGTAAATAACTGTGTGAGGGTGTGGTTAACCCTTGAGTTGCAGGGCCATCCAAGCGTGTTAAAAATCTTCAGAATAGAGAGAAGGATGAGGGCGGAGTTTCTTACAGCTTTCTAGATTCTTCGGTAGCTGTCGGCTCACAGCAAATGTATACAGGGTGTGGATGATGGGGGAGCCAAACATCTAGAGAGCCTGTTCCGCTGTTTAAACCACAGCTTTATTTAGAATGGCTCAGAATTTCATTTGAGCTACTTAACAGAGGAATACATTCTGCTCTTTTGACCAGTCACTAGGATTTATTCATGTAGAACATGTCCATGAAACTATCCAGTCACAACAATAGTTTATCATAACAGAACTAATATCTTACTGTAGACCCTTGGGATTTGAAACGAAAATGGTCTGAAGGATTACCATTAAAATAGTAGCTTCCTATTCTTTTGAAAATGAGAATTTCAAAAGTAGTTACTTTTATAAGAAATAGACCTCTTTCTAAGCAGTCATTCTTGCATGAGGTTACTGTGAGTTCATTCTGGAATGCTGCTATATAAGCATGGGGTTGTAGGTTGCTTACTCTGGTGTTTGAAGATTGTGGCACTGTTTAATTTTCGACATGTTTCATTTAAGGAAGATTTGCCTGATGACTTGGTGGTCACTGATGTTCTTCATCACCTGACGTGATGGGACCAAGCCAGACATCTACCTGTGTTCATCTAGCATCCAGTATCCAACTAGATGGAAGGAGTGACCCTAGGACTCTTCAACCTCAGGTTGTTCTGCTGTTTTCTTCTGATATTTACTGCAAAACATTTTAAACATAAAGAAAAGTTGAAAAATAAAAAGACATTGAACATTTTGATGCCATTTTCTAGATTCAGTAGTTGTTAATAATTTGCTATGTTTTCTGTCTGCTCAACCATCTGTCTCTAAAGTTTATGTATAAGCATACCAAAGGAAGCTACAAACATTGATGCTTTCGTTTTAAATATTTCAGAACACTTTAAAAATGAACTCTTATTAATTAATTGTACCATTATCACACTTAAGAAAATAACTTAAAAAAAACTTACATGTATGTGTCTGACTGTGTGTGCAGGGGTACTTTTAGAGGCCAGAAGAAGGCGCTGGACCCCTCCAGGCTACAGTGTGAGGCCTGGTACTCCTTATCCACAATAGCTATTTAATTGCTCAGTTTTCAGGTATATGAAAAGTAAGAGTTCAGTCCTTGGTTAAAGTACTTTGTGTGCCTAGCTGCAATGATGCATAGTTCAAATGCTATGTTTAAAAGTTATAGGTTACATTTTTTTCCACTCTGATGTTTTAGTGTGGTTGACTTTGGTTCACTGTTTTCTGTTGGTATTCCTTTCTAGGGTTTTCTGTTATCTTTATGGAACTGTATCCCCGACCCCTTCCTCCCTTGTGTGTGTGCACATGCATTCACAGGGTTCAAAAACAATGCTGTGCAAACATATATTCAGGGAAGTGTTGTCCTCCACCTAGTTGTTCTTTTTGTTCTTTCCATCCTGTTCCTACTCACATTCTATGGATAACTAATCTCTTAACTCCCAGTTTTCTTTGTCCTTTTATTTCTGTCTTTTATTAAGGACCAGATGCATGCATATATTCTTATGGTATCATCTTTTCTTGATATTACAGCTACTGTTTTCCTCCTTTTTTTCTAAGAAATCTCCCACACCAGTTCCTAGAGCTGTTTTTAGAGACATCCTCATGTCTTACCTTATTTCTAGCACTCGGTTCTCTAGCTGTCCAAAAGTTTATTACATGGCCAACCCTTCGTAGACATGTAGGTTGATTTCAGTAATTGGCAATTACAAACCATATAATAGTAGGTAAGCCTTTATATGTGTATTGTTGGGAATACATCTGCATGATATCTGTCTTAGGGTTTTCATTGCTGTGAAAAGACACCATGACCATGGCAACTCTTTTTTTTTTTTTTTGAGACAGGATTTCTCTGTGTAGTTTTGGTGCCTGTCCTGGATCTCACTCTGTAGACCAGGCTGACCTCAAACTCACAGAGATCTGCCTGGCTCTGCCTCCCAAGTGCTGGGATTAAAGGCGTACACCACCACTGCCTGGCCCACGGCAACTCTTATAAAGGAAAACATTTAATTGGGGTGGCTTGCTTACAGTTTCAGAGCTTCAGTCCATTATCATCATGATGGGAGCATGGCAGTGTGCAGGCAGATGGTAGCTGAGAGTCCTACATCTTGCTGGCAACAGGAAGTTGGCTGAAACACTGGGTGGTATCTGAGCGTAGGGAACCTCAAAGCTCACACCCACAGTGACACACTTCCTCTAGCAAGGCCATACCCACTTCAACAAAGCCACACCTTCTAATAGTGCCACTCCCTATGAGATGATGGGAGCCAGTTACATTTAAATTACCACAGTATCCCAGAAGTGATACTAGACTGCTAGGTCAGAAGTAGCTGAATATTGCCGTTACCCCCCAGAAAGGAGCGTCCCTCTGCCCATTACACATTCTCTCTCTTGCTTTCTCTCTCCCATCTCCCCTCCTTCTCCCTGCTCTTTCTCTCTTTCATCTGTTCTGCCTTTCCCATTTCCTATGTTTTTTTTTAATGTGTATGTGTGTGTACCTGTGTGAATTTATGTGCATTACTCTATGATAATATGTTTCACCATAGCCTTACCAAAAGCATGTAGTGTTGTACTCTTATTTTATGGAATTTCACTATCTTTTTATAAGGCTGAAGATTTTTTAAAGTTTTTTTAAATTATGTGTATGTATATATGTTTGTGTATGGATATGTGCACACAAGTGTAGGTGCCTGTCAAGGTGAGAAGCTTAGAGTCTCCTGGAGCTGGTGTCACTGGTGGCTGTGAGCCACTTGACATGGGGCTGAGAATCAAACTTGGGTTTTTTTCAGGAACAGTGCATGCTCTTAACTGCTGAGTCATCTCTCTGGCCCCAGATTCAATGTCTCCCCTCCCCCACACACATATTTAAGAGTCTACTTTTCTCCTGCCTTTCCCATTTCCTATGGTTTCTTTCTTTTCCTTTTCTTTGTTTTTTGTTTTTTTGATGTGTATGTATGTGTGTGCTTGTGTGAGTTTATGTGCCCCATGCATGTGTAGGTATCTGAGGAAACCAGACGAGGGTGTTGGATCACCTCAAACTGGAGTCACAGGTGGTCATGAACCGCCTGTGTAGGTGCTGGGTCATCTCTCCAGCTCATTGGGGTTTCCTCTGTAACCTCAGTTAAGGAGCTCTTTGTACTTGCAAATAATATTTTCTTCTAGTTTTTCAGTTCTTTGGTCTTTTTTATTGAGGCTTTTTATTTGTGTGTTTGTGTATTTGTTCGTTCTTAACCAGGGGAAAATTTTAAAAGAAATTTCACTTATTTATTTATTCATTCGTTTGTTTGTTTGCTTTTTATTATTTATTTATTTGTTTATTTATTTATTTGAGACAGGGTTTCACTGTGTAGCCCTGTTTGTCCTGGAACTCACTGTGTAGACCAGGCTGGCCTCGAACTCAGAGATCCACCTGCCTCTGCCTGAGTGCTGGGATTAAAGCAAAAATCTTTAAAGACTTTCACACTAAAGAGGAGTTCATCAATTTACCCCTTCCCCCAGTGTGGATATCAGAGTCTTGGGGTATTGAATTATGTTTAGAGGAAAGGCTTTCCCAAATAAGGTTACAGATTTCAATTTTTTTTTAATCTATGCACATTTCAGGGTGTTTTGTTGTTGCTGTTATTTTCTACTTAGTGAATTGTTCCTACTCCTCCTTTATCACCCATGTCCCCCAAAAAGTTCCTGAAGTTTTATCATATACATGTGATTATTTGAGCACATTTATTGTGAGTGTTGGGGAAATCTCCCAATGAAGGTATCATGTGTCCACTGAATTCAACAACATGGATTTCCTTGCTTCCCTTTCATAGGTAGGCCCTTTTAGGTTTTAAAGTCATAAACTTATTATTTCTTTTGGTCTGATAATCCTAGAGCACATTACTAAACCTAAGAAAATAATGTAAAAGCAGAAAAACAAAACAGAACACAATCCTAAAGACAAACCTATACTAATAATATACGTGTTAGTGGAAAAACTGGAGCAATGTGTTTAATACAGTTGTAGCTTAGTCTGAAAGGCTGGTTTTTGAAGATTAGAAAATGCAGCTGTGAAAGTAATCTTAAAAACCATTAGGAAGCTAGGCCACCGGTGGTGGTGCACGCCT